GTTTTCCAACTGTTCCTTTTCTGAAACAAAACAATGAGAATGAGCTTGTGTAAGACTTGTTAACAGCAGGTTTATCGCTTTAGCTAAGTCCAATCCTCTAGACTTCCCCATTGCACCCTGGCAAGCAAAAAAGGACGTACTTGATTGCTTTTTAACAGTCGAGTGAACATTTTCCTCATCAACTCTAGTTTACTTTTCCTAACAGAGCACACTACTCACAGGATTGTTAAGACATCTTCTGGACGTTCCTTACACTTGTGAAGTTTGGATAGCCTGGATGTAGGAGTAAATAACACTGCGAGATGATGTCGTTGAGATCAGATAACTGGGGCAAAAATTAATCGGTGGCTCTTCTCTCTGAACTGTCCGAAGCACTTATCCGAAAGTTCATTCTTATTCATTTCAGTCCATGCGGAATAGTCAAAAACCTACCGTAGCTAGCATAGCTCGATCGGTTGTTGATCAGGTGGCTGTTGATCTGTTCACCGAGCCTGGCAATGGGCTTGCAAACTTTTCGTCACCATACGAGGAGACAACATCACTGCGCAGTTGGGTGCGTATGGTGACCAAACGTTTGCAACCCAGTTGTCAAGCTCGGCGAACAGATCAACAGCCACGTGATCAACAACCAATAAACTCATCTGAGTTACCAATATTTCAACACATTATCCCCATAGTTGAATTTTCGTACCATCACCAGGTTCAAAATATCAGCCATCGATTCTCTTCCTGCGACCCACCTCGGTGGTCTTTAAAGCACCCTTGCATTCTCGTATTAACTTGACGTAAACGGATTATGATTTTGTTGATCGCAACGTGAATGGCATGAGTGAAGGATGCACGGCAGTGGATTCTGTCTCAAGGTGAGTTAGCCACAAAAAGAATAAAGCAACTTTAGAGTGCATTTCGGTTTTTCAACTCGGACTAACTTTACTCACAAGATCGTGAGCGGAATTCCGGAATCTCCTTGTTGTACCAACAAACCTATTATCGGACCAACTATCTTGCAACACATTCACGAACGGTAGCGATACCAAACGCATTACTTAATAGTTCGAAGTATGCTCTGGTGTCTTTTATCTTCCTGGTTTGACTAAACAAAAAACTTGTGTGATTAGCGCGACTTCTCATGTGATTGCCACTAGTTTCCAGTTCATATAAATCTAGAGAAGTCGGGCTTATCAAAGCAAATGTGGACATGACACAAAATCGGTGCTTCAGGTTCTGCTTCAAAAGTGCGTTCCATGGTTTGTGACATCTACGCGTTGTATGTTGGGCTTGACAACTAATCAGGTTCATTCGTACTCCTGATTTTTTGGAATCCAGGCCAAATGATTGGTGGTCTTCAACTCACATAATTACAGCAAGTACATCGCACAAGTGACTGTTTTCCGAATTCATAGTGTGTGGCCTGAAGTGTTCGTGACAGGTTCTTACATAACTATTCTCTACGTCGTACGTTGCGCAACATCCCATGGGCATTGTCACGGCTGGACTATTTCGGAGTTTAGTGTGGTGATATACATCATGCTCTGGGCTTAGTGTAGTTCGATTGCATTAATATTTCCTCGTTGACTACACCCGTTGTCCACGGTTTTCTGGCAACTGTGATTAGTAATCACCCGTGTGTGCAGACTTGGCATGTCATTTTACATACGAACTGTTTCTCATGTATTTTAAAGCATCCTGAATTGGTTTGCAGAAATATGCTGCAATCCGAATGAGTTGTATCAGGGCGAACAATGTTACCCCTGTTCTGGTATTAAGTGGATCAACAGCGGCATGATTTTTCCGGTTGGAAGGAATGAATGCATTGGCATAGGGCATATATAAACACATATCTGACGCCAGATTTGCTACTCTGACTCTGAGGCTCGAAATCAAGGCAAGTGTGACCGTTAAACCCAGGATTCGTCTGTCACATTCGGCGGTCGCGGTGCCAAAATGCGTCGGAACTTCTGGGTCGCCATATTGGTCGGTAAGTCCCGTTTACTGTCTGCCTACGGCTGCCGATCACCTGGGAGACCAAAACACACAACGATCCGATATGGCCTGTTTTCCAACTGTTCTGTCTGCTTACGTCTACAAATAATGGATGTCTGTACCACTTCATCACATCCAAGCCAGCTCCCGGAAAATCGTTCCGAATCAATGATTAAGCCTTGACTCAGTTCTCGGCCCTCCTGGTCCCCTTTAAGCAAAACCACCAATTGCACGTACGGTGTAGTATATGCCCAAAACTAGTAAAAAAAATTTGCCCCTAATTTCAGTTTGCACACAAAATGGGACCGCAGATGCACAGCTGCCTACAGGCAGTGTTTGTATTACTCGGAACTCTCCCGAGGACAGTGATAACAATTGAAGTATTGCAAATTTGCATCAGACGGAGGAAAACCGAAAACGCGTGGTTCTTATTTAGGAATGTAGTGTCAACAACAGAAAGACGAAAAGCCAAACCGACTGAGCTGGACAGGATTCGTTGGTTGGTGTAGAACGGGTCCATAGCCTCATTCCTAATTTGATTTTTACTGAAAGTGTACAACTCAAAACACAATGTTGCAAGTTGCAAGTGTGGTCCGGCATCTGCGCCGAAATGGATACCCTGTGTCAAGGGTTTTCTGGCCAAATAAATGATGGATTGGTGTGAGTTTACGCACTGACCTTTCACGTTGAATCGTACTGACGTTAGATGAGGCCACGTTCGTCCTGCGTATACACCAAACTGAACGCCACAGCGAAAACACTGCTGGGTATTTCATTATTCATCCCAACTGCAGCTATTGAAGTACTACTATCCTCGAATCACTGGGACCGAGCGTCAACTTGATTAGTTGTCAAATAGTGCTTACCACGTGATTGGCTGTGAGGAAACACGTCAGCATGACGTGACAAGCTCGAGTCGGGCGTCTATAGTTCAAACTGCAGGCACAAACAATGATGTGCACTTCTAAATTGTATGAGTACAGTGCTTCCCCCTATGTGTTGTAGACAGAGGTGAACAATTATTCCAAGACAACACAACTGAGAGTGGTCTGATCACCCACAATAACGGAATTGAATACACAAAGCAAAGGATGCACAACAATCGACCAGTAAAATAATTGTTCCATCAAAGAACTTCGACAATTCTACGTGCGACTGAACACCGGGTTCTGTTTTGATTGTTTTTTCACATTCACAGTCACCTATTGTCCTCGTTATTATTAGTTTTGTTATCACTAATACCATTATTATCAGATAATCGTTTATAAAAACAGTAAAGAAGTCTTTTAAATGCTCCTACGTTCATGAAACCCACGCGTACTCTCTCCGGCTAATCAATAACCTAATGAAAACTCATTGTCTGTCTACCCAAGATAGGAAAGAATGCGAAATTTCGAGTCAAAATAGATCAACCTAAGATATTAGTAGTTGCGGAATTCGACTGCAATGCTATTCTCATTCTTACCTTCTATGTCACCAGATATTGATCCAAACTCTCAGTATTCAAAAACAGTTACAAGAATATCCAAATGAGACCACTCAGAATTCTTCGGCCCAGCTCTAATCCATCATTGTCATCGGTAGCCCAACGTATGCTATTGTACGACCATGATTTAGTTGAACGCTTTATTTTTAATAAAAGAATAAATGTGGGTGAGGAAGGAGCCTAGTGGTAGCCTAGCACAATCATTCCGAGATGCCTACATCTTCAGACACTCATTCAGATATTCTGACATCGATTAGCAACAATATCTTGCAGTGCCTCCACCCGGTTGTATGTACAAGTTATTGATCAGCCTGGTTGCTCCAGACGACCACTTTTCCAAGAGGATTTCAACACTTCAGGCTCTATAGATGCCTATTTTCCATCAAATTGACTTTCTGCTTGAACACCAAGTTATTCACGTATCGCAATTACCATTTGATAATCTGGTGTTGATGGGCAACTCAGCTGAAACTTCTCCGAACATCTCGTTTATGGTCTTCCTCAGTTGGAGTTTCTGCTTGGAAATCGTCCCATCCTTGTTTTGTAACGATTTTCAACATATTAAGGTTTCAAGACTGCGCATAATAATATCGATAAAAAACCCTATACAAGGTGTCACCAGTTTTTTTGGAACTTATTAGGTAGACCTGATTTCTATATTCAGAAATGCAGATAATTATAGACGAGAGAAGAGGCGAATTTCAACGGAGTCTCCCGTAAGCATCGCAGTAATTTGCAAATAAATGTTTATCTTACAGTGTAATATGCTGGTGGGGTGTTAAGTTTGTGGAGATGATGCATCTTGACCTACCGGCTGATCTCCGAGAAGACTCAAACTGGCAATGAACCATCTAGAAAGGTAGTATTGAGTCCTGATTAATAGCACGGCGAATCCTCTTTGCAGATCACCGCATCCGTTCGCTAGTGCTCCGTTAGTGTTGATGAGCGTTCCAATTGCTCGGTTTTGAGCGAATGAACTCAAGTCTTCGACGAACCTAACCCAATCTGGAGGCGTAAGCAGGGATACAAATTAAAGAAGCAGTTTATCAGCGTTATCTTTGAGGGTTCTCGTCTTGGGTGAGCATGAAACCTCGACACTGTTAGAATATTTCTATCCTTGTCTCGATTAGTTGGTTAGTTCTCACCCAGGCATCTAATCACTACTATACCGTTACATCCTGGAAGCACCTGGATTAGCATGTCTGAACTCTTGAATATGTTCACGTTTGAGCGAGTTGATCGTGAGATCAGTTCACTGGCAGAGTGGCTGGTCATCTAACGAACGGTGTCTTCTACCTGATTTCTTCTGAATCCCTGTCGGGAACCAACAGAACTTCGGAAGACCCCTCACACAGGAGTGATGAATTTTAGCGTTCAACTGCATTTTAGGTATATTCCCTCATAGTTAGGCAAGTTGAGTCCCTACATCAAACCACTTTGTGTTGGACCTATACTCTCAAACTTCTTATTTAACCTAGATAACATTCCGCGCTATTGTGGGCGCAACGCATTTGATCCTTACTGGACGTGTATGTTTCAAACCGAACCAGCGACTCCATCCTCGTCACTACATCTCAACGAGAGGATTGTCGGTGGCGTACGGTCACAAGTCGGTCAGTGGCCCTGGATAGTTTCGCTGATGTTCAGAGAATCATCCGAGGAAGTTCGCCAAAGAGTTGTGGAGGCAGGAGGAAAGCTAATTATCCACACCAATCCGGATGGTTCCCAAATGTTCCACTTGTGTGCCGGTACCCTGATTCACCCAGAATGGATCGTTACCACTGCCCACTGTTTCTTGTAAGTTCTAAGCCATGGGACCATCAAGCGCTGGAAACGAGCTATGCATAACTGCGTTTGATTCGAAATCTGGTTACTCATGAGTAGCGAGGTGGTTCACTAGAGAAATGCATCGGTCTTCACACAGGACGTTATATGTATCTGTATTGTAGTCAACTCACACGTGTTTAATTAGTCTCTCTCCGCCTTCCCTTTTGGGACTAGTCTTGCAGTCTCACATCATTGAGGACTAGGGTTTGACCAATATTAAACCTCATCAAAACTATATATATCCCTCAGCCGCGTCGGGATGTTAACTGCGACTATCAGATACGCATGGCAAGTGTGTAACATCTGCTGTACTGACCCGCACTGGAGACACGTGAGTGATCACGCGCAAACAAGTGAGATCATGCACAGTCATGCAATGTTAACAGTTTGTCCCAACTATCAGCAGACGCCCTAGTAACTCCACTGACTAATCCTACCATGAACTCCCTTTCAAACTCTCCCCATGAACGATTCACACATGCAACTTATTTTCCCCATGGTTTTAACAGTTGAAATAACAGGAAATATCGAGTTCTTCCAGTCATTTTGCCCATGTTTCTCCCGACCGCGTACTGTGATACCCTCTCTCACAGGAGACCTGGTGATCAAGGAAGCAAGGGTTAACGGGAGTTATTTGTGTACACAAATTTTGCTGGGTTTAAATTACTGCCCGGTGATCTTCTTGACTTTTACTTCCTCTGTATGGTTGAGATCCCCTGTTGATAACCCCACTCTCAACGCTCAGTGTCACACACATGTTGGTTTGATGATATCCCGAGAATCCTAAGAAAACCGACACTCCAGTTTTACCACGGCTTCAAATTTACTGTGGGGCCGTCTCTTTTACGAAAGCACAACTTGAACCTCAGAAAATTCAAGAAACCATGTTACCCTTCAGTCTGAGTAGTAATCGTGGGACCGCTGTACGTAAACCGTGTGGTTGAAAAGTGAGTAAAGCTAACTGCTTTTTGAGTATACGGTACTTACAATGTGGTTGACCACTTGCAGCCGAATAATGTAGTATTCAAACATCGATCGGGTTCGAACAATTTTCAAAAACCAGACTGTGCATACTGTTGATCATTCTTGGCATGGATGTGATCCCTAGCACAATGGCATCATCTGTGTTGTAAAATCTCAATTTCTTGTCGTAATTTTGACGTACAGTAATGCGCAACATCTCATGGGTTCTCATCAACCGGGGAGGAGACCCCTCAATGACTGAGGAAAGTGAATCTTTGAGCCAGAGCACAAGTATTCAGTTTCAAGTTTCTCAAGCGCTATCAGTCTCCTACTTTCCTGTGGGACTCCGTAACTTGACTTGATTAACTTATCTGTATTAGTGACCGATAGCTTTCCTAGGCGTTCAGCTACTCGGTTTGCAGTGTAAGCTACCTAAATCGAATTCGACTGTCTTCGATTTCACTGTCTGTAAACCATATGTGTACTGCGGATTAACTTACTGAGACAAAGAAAGCTATTTTCTCAAGGGTTTGAGATATTCACAGAAGATGTCTGCCATTGGTTGGGGAGGGTGTTGGTCCACGTTTACGAGGTAGTTGTTGGTCTGTTTGGTAGGTTGTGGAGGGTTCAACCGCCACCATCGGAGTTTCTGCAAAAACTAGAATAAAATACGTAGAACTGGCAAGAATGTCGAGAATGGTTTTAGATCAGTCGAGCTGACACGTGGTAGTGTGTGGTTATCAGAGGGAAAATCCATCAGCAGAAGTAGCTTAGATCTCAAGTGTACTTAATCTCCTCCAACTGAATTGTTCTATCACTTACGAGCCACTGACCAGTGGCACCCAACGTTTGTCAATTGAAGCATCTTGAACCGGAGGATTAGGGAGCTAAACTCAACCAGAAGTAAACTGAAATCTCCCCAACCTACCCAGGATTTAGGCAACCACACTAATCGACAAGATCCTTTAACTAACATTCAACACTGAACTAGTGTGCCAATCGAGACTGCTCTTGCCGAGTGGTTCTCCATCTGTTTTAAAACCCTTGTCAACTTGGTGACCCACTCACTTGACGCAATGCAGCTTTTGTGTTAAAAGCGAAACGTTGCCCAGTTAAAAACTGCAACTTGTTTACCAAGCCCTTCTGAAACGAAAAATAAAGCGCCATTGTAAACGCCCGAATTTAGGGGTGACTTTACCGGAGCTGAAAAAACTCAGTCCAACATGCGCTTTGCCCTAATCGGACCCGTTTTGTGTGGATGCAAGTGGATCGATCTCCTGATGTCTACGACCAGTTTAAACACTTAGTATCAACATTACTTGGCCCCTGAAGTCACCCGTACGCATGGCATTAGTCAAAAACAGATCAGTTTTCATCAAACTGCATATCTAAATTCGGGACATGAAACCTACAAGGATCAGGTTTACCCTTGGTTGTTTTGTATTCACCTGAAGAGTCCCAATTGAGTAGACATTTGGGCGCAATTTTTTTAAGATTGGCTTCATTTGTAATTATCACTCAAAGAACTCCAATCCCATCTGTATGGTTTTTGACTGTCCGCCAAGGAATAAGGAAGTGGTCAACATTCCATCGCTTACCTGGAACACCGGGGTAAGTTTGTTAGAACGACCAGTGACACGATTAATCGGATTTCTGAAAACTACTGGACGCATGAGATAACCCAAATTAACCAATGAAGCAGCCAACTATTTGCCCAGGGCAAAACTGTATGCCATTGGTCACTGATGAATTCTTCAATCCAGTAAATTTTGCTAAGTGTGGGAAGAAGGAACATATCACACGACGAGTGAGAAGTCACCACTCGAGGACCCAGTCAATACGTGACCACGTGATATGGATTCCATGATTGGCGGGGTGGAGCTGAATTCAGTGTCATGCAAATTAATTAGACTGTTTATCAGCCGTCCTTCAACTACTATTCGGGAGGTAGTGGTCTCGCGTGACCTCGGAATGGTTATCATTTCCACTAGGGATGAAAAGACCGTATAGTACTTCTCGCATAGGTTCGCCTCACTTGCGAGATAATATCGCCTACGAGACTTTCCAGATCCTTCCATACTGTCAACAGTACAGTGTAGTGAGGCCTACGGATTTCCACGTACTGCGCTAAACAATAGGATGCCTCTGGGTAAGCCGCAAGGGGTCCGGCTTACATACACAGGAGAAACACTTCGTATTGTTTTGTTTCGTAATCTTGCGGGTTAGACTCTGTTCCAGTAACACAAATGTAGCTTATTGATCCGCCTTCTTCTGGGCGAACCTGAATAGCTAATTAGCTAGCGGTTTTACGGGACTACACGACACATGGACTTCGTAGATTCGAACAGTCAGTCATTAGTATCGACACATGGACTTCGTAGATTCGAACAGTCAGGTCATTAGTATGGAGTGCTTTTTTCCTGAAAATTCGCTTTCTACGCGCACGCTCCTGGTTTGAATTAAACCATCATACTCAGAAAATACGAAAAAAATGTATACGTAAAGGAGTTGAAAAGTTGGGGGAATAAGTCATATGGTTAAAGTGACACTCCTATCACGGTAACCAGCAGTCACGAAAGCGGGATTCGTTCACATGATGATGAATCTCTTTTCTAATCGAACATTGCTCTTCGGTTTAATCGCATCCGCCTCAGACACGAATTGCCTTTTGTTACCATGCGTCCCTAGATTCTGGATGGCTTTTGTTACAGGTGACGTGTAATGTCCAAATTACCCAGAAACCGCCTCAATAGAATAAGAACAATGGAGTTCCAACAAAAGCCTTCCTGTCCCCTAGAAAAGCAAAGGCAATCTGTGTCACCTGGGTTACTCACTTGTGCAATACTGGAAGTACCAGTTAAGCATGGAACTCATTGTTTTCTCGGTCCTTTTTTTTCTCAAACCTATTCAACCCATGGAAAAATTCAAGTTACTGCAACTGAGCAAACTAGCTTTCCTCTTGTATGTGGTCCTGCCCGATTTCCACACCTGTACTGAACAGCTGTCAGTCCCTATCAGAGTAAACACTGGTTCTATCAGTTTTTCTCAAATGTTTCCAGTCCTACTGAAGCGTATGCTCACTTGTCGACCGACCCAGCCAGATGGACTGCCCGCGTTGGTGAGTTCGACATGCTGGACGAACAAGTGCCACATTTTGACATGAATCTGGAACTGATCTTCCCCCATCCCGAATACAATGGTAAGTTACCGAGGCGAGATTTTGGTGACAGTAGCCCTAAATTTATTCTAAAGCCATGAAGTCGCCCACCTGTTGTTGTCCGAGTCAATCTGCAGTGGCAACAAACCATGTCTGCAACCTTATATATTTGGCTTCAACGGTTTCGTCTATTGAACCAAAACAGTGGGTGACTGGCCATTGTGTCTAGGTCCAATTGTGGTCGTCACGACAAATACCATAGACGTTTAACAGAACGCCCTCCACTCCAACAGATCGCTGATCACTTAGTGAGATCAACAAGTCAGTGTGATCTGACTGTAAGCAATAAGCAGCTCCTAGTGATTGTTACGACCGTTTATTGTGTTGAATTTTGCTGAAGTAATCAGATGGATGAAAAGGGTCTCACTTGTTTGGACTAGCAAACTTTATTTTCTGCCCAGAGAGATCGAAAACCTTATTTTCGACATAGCCCATATGAAGAATTGGAGAAACAACTATTCTGCATGGTTATTCTTTATTTCACAGGCACGACGATCGCAAACGATATCGCACTGATCAAATTAGCCGAGCAAGTTCAACTAGGTCCGAATGTTAACATTGCCTGTTTACCTAAAGCAAGCAACGGTGATCTGCCCGGAGACTGTTGTATCGCCGCCGGCTGGGGATACACCCAGGAAGGTAGGCTTATAATGTGTTGTTACCATCAAACTTGCCTGTAAATACATCTTCAGTTGCTTCATTCCACGTATGCCAAATGCTTTGAACCGCAGGTCCGAGAAGATCACGTGACGAACAAATCATGCGGTATACCTATAGCCTACTCAGAGAAGCTAGTTACCTCGTTCCGAATCGTCCTTCATCCGACGCGTTCTCTTAGTTCTCAGTTAGATAAGTTGGTAAGGATTCAGTCCTAATATTTGGATTGCTTATCAGTATTTACCTGATATAGCAAGATGAGTGCCTCAGACGCATTGTTCAGATCCATCGTGTTGGTCAGATAAGCGGTGATGATACTTGAATGACGTGATCTATTGTAACGCAGAATGACAACTGCTCAAGGGATAGCTGAGCGCCCATTATTCTGCACGAGCTGAAAATGCGATTATTTCGGTGATCCGTCGCTAGCTTTCGTATACTGACTGTGCCAAACGCTCAGTGTCTCACTTTATTGACAGTTATAGGTCTGTTTCATCCTGGAATATGTTGATATATTTTCTTTGTTCCCAATGCGAAAAAAAGATAAAGAAAAGCAGGCTGTGGTTTGAATTTCCCAACATTACTTCAGGATGAGAGTAGATAATGACAACAAATCAGACAGTTGAGCGTCTTCAGTAAATGCTCCCGTTCTCAAAGACCTTCATGAACAATGTGAGATGGTCTGTCAGTCAACTTATTTCGGACTTACTGTATGTTCGTACTTTGGTACATCTGAGGTAGTGCATCCGCGTTCTGCGCAGAAAAGGAGAACATGATAGAGTGAGTTTTTCAATGGTCCACATGCAATCTGAACGAGGACAAACAGTCACTTAAGCAGATATCACCCGGGTGGGTTATAAAAGCGACAAGTTAACTGTGCCCTAGACAGGCTCGTTCGCGTCAAAACAAAGTGTATTCTACGGCGCAATAGGGTGGAGAACGGGCTTATCCGCCAAAAATAATAACACGAGAAAATGAAGCAAACAAAGCATTCCAAAATAATTCTTTGGCACTTGGTGAGCTCAGCACTTTGTAAAACTTATGTTTGGCGAGGAAATCATTCGAAACATTACGCTAGAAAGGCGCCGGTATCCGACCATCCGTGACATTGGGAAGACATTTTTCCGGAGCTAAAGATCCAGAGAAATCTCCCTCATTGGTAGATTATCGCCAGTCTCACTGTACAGTGCGGTACCCAGCCTGCCTCTGCAATCCAGTATGGAGATGTGATAAATTTCCCTTGTTTTAGATTGAGGTAGTACTCGAGGATTGCACAGAATGCTCTACCGTGTTTGCCATGTTTAAAACTCATCAGGGAAACGTGGCGTCCGGGGTGCAGCGCTTGAAAAAGCTGACCGCCGCATCGATTAGAGGGATATGTCACCAACTGGCTATGTACAAATAGAAGATGTCCTGATTGGTTGCAATCTGGGTCAAGCAGAATCGAACAATTTTAGCATGGCTATTCTCTCACTATCAGAAAGATTCTAGCTTGATCCTGTGAATCACGCTATAAACACAACTGTAGTATGCTTCCTCTGTCTCCCTAAAAGGCTACCTCAGGTTGTCCTTGCCTTTGGTATACAGTGGTAGGCGGAACAGTACATCCAGAACTAGCATAGTAGCAATGGATCACAGCACCTAGCTCGTACGAAATAGTTAGACTAGATGCCTCAGTACAAATGACTATTGTAGGTGAACTCAAAAGATAAGTCCTAAAGCAGGCAGAATTGTTAGTTGGACAACCATAATTTTGACCGATAAGAGAGGACATATCTATCGTACTATAAATAAAATAGATAATATTCGGAACATCTTCATTTTTACCTGACACAGACAGGAACTTTGGATCTTCCGTTTTAAAAACGATCGATATCATGCTGAACTTCATCTACTTCCACCGCCCCCTTGAAAATGGGCATTTTACGATTTCATTTGTCCCATCGTATTTCAGCCTGGCGTCCCAACCCTGTTCTTATTGTTCACTAACTCCGGGTTGAGGTCGCAGTATCTGCTGCCACTTGATGGCAAGCAGATTGCATTTTTTCGGTACAGTAAATCCGTTATAATGTTAGTGTTTTTGGTAAGTGTGCAATGATATTCAATGATATTCTCCTTCCAATTGAGGAGGGTGCAGTTGGTGATGTAGGAGACCTGTTATTCTGGTTACTACCACCCGGGGGGTAAGATCTCGTTCTGCAGTGTTCCTGACAAAGTGAAGGTGGCTCTCAGTAGTCACTGTAGGCGGGCCAGTGCTGTGTAGCAGTTAGCTGTAACCTGCTTGTGCAGTTTATAAAAAATGGCACAGCAATCAGCTGTCAGAAGTATTTGGGGATACCTGGACCCCAGTCAATTACTGCACATGCAAGAAATTTGCGATTAATTTGAAACACTTAAGTCATGATAAAGCGCGTTTTTAAACTCAGCGTGCTATAACAGTGAAAAATCGTCAAAATGAGAAGATATAGACTAAATCTATTGTAACAACGATCGAATAAACTTATACTGTTCTGTATTGATATTAATGACGTAAATCAGCTCCGTCATTCTATGCAGGGTCTCAGTCAACTGACAAAGTCGGGCGAACACATCGGTAAAACCGGTCGTGGGTCTCAGGTTGTCCTTGCCTTTGGTATACAGGGTTGGGCGGAACAGTATATCCAGAACTAGCATAGTAGCAATGGATCACAGCACCTAGCTCGTACGAAATAGTTAGACTAGATGCCTCAGTACAAATGATTATTGTAGGTGAACTCAAAAGATAAGTCCTAAAGCAGGCAGAATTGTTAGTTGGACAACCATAATTTTGACCGATAAGAGAGGACATATCTATCGTACTATAAATAAAATAGATAATATTCGGAACATCTTCATTTTTACCTGACACAGACAGGAACTTTGGATCTTCCGTTTTAAAAACGATCGATATCATGCTGAACTTCATCTACTTCCACCGCCCCCTTGAAAATGGGCATTTTACGATTTCATTTGTCCCATCGTATTTCAGCCTGGCGTCCCAACCCTGTTCTTATTGTTCACTAACTCCGGGTTGAGGTCGCAGTATCTGCTGCCACTTGATGGCAAGCAGATTGCATTTTTTCGGTACAGTAAATCCGTTATAATGTTAGTGTTTTTGGTAAGTGTGCAATGATATTCAATGATATTCTCCTTCCAATTGAGGAGGGTGCAGTTGGTGATGTAGGAGACCTGTTATTCTGGTTACTACCACCCGGGGGGTAAGATCTCGTTCTGCAGTGTTCCTGACAAAGTGAAGGTGGCTCTCAGTAGTCACTGTAGGCGGGCCAGTGCTGTGTAGCAGTTAGCTGTAACCTGCTTGTGCAGTTTATAAAAAATGGCACAGCAATCAGCTGTCAGAAGTATTTGGGGATACCTGGACCCCAGTCAATTACTGCACATGCAAGAAATTTGCGATTAATTTGAAACACTTAAGTCATGATAAAGCGCGTTTTTAAACTCAGCGTGCTATAACAGTGAAAAATCGTCAAAATGAGAAGATATAGACTAAATCTATTGTAACAACGATCGAATAAACTTATACTGTTCTGTATTGATATTAATGACGTAAATCAGCTCCGTCATTCTATGCAGGGTCTCAGTCAACTGACAAAGTCGGGCGAACACATCGGTAAAACCGGTCGTGGGTTGTTGAAGAGTTTCCAGTAACCTTGTGAGTAGTTTCTTCTATGAAAATATACCGCAATATCTGAAACATGAGTCGATCTGTGTGCATCACATTCGGTTGAAGAATACCATAAATAAGAGTTTCACTCGAGTTCCTCGTGAAAACCGATTGATTTGAAAATGAGTGTATTTGTCGCAATCAGTCCAAATTGGTTTCAAGTAGAACATAAGGTTGACGGCAACTCGAGGTTTGTGCCTGTCTGATGACCCCCAAGAAGGGCGAAGGGCTGTCGAAGAGATTTCAGCAACCTTGTGAGAAAACTGTGAGAATTAAGTTTCGTACGTATATCGGTATAACCAGACGAACTAGAAATCCAGAATTCAGCGAAGCGTAACAACCAGCAAGTATGTATTCGAATTGGCGTATATGTACAGCATATAGAATATTAAAACAAGAGAATAATGAATAGAGCAGCGAATAGAGTATCAGTCATGTTCATCACATCCGCCACACCTTGAGTGAGCGTGTGGGTGTTTATAGTCCAGTGGTGGTCTTGACCGCAATCTTTCGGATCTTCTCGGAATGGAAACTTCAGGCTCTTCACAGGTTGTGTGTTCTTCAGATACGTTTTGTTCAGATACCATAAGATCATCTACAAAGGACTCATTAGTATTTGAAACAGCAGGAGTGCCGTTAACAGACTGACCTCTAGTATTGAATTCAACCTGGTCAATGTGTCTCCGATGACAAGAGAGATCATCCAGATCGATAATTGTGACCATTCGTTTGCCATTTGATGAAAG